GTTGGCAGCGAGACGCTCCTGGGGCTGGGTGCCGGAGGAAACAGCAGGCTGCAACCCGGGGCTCCGGCGGGGGACGGGGGACGCTAGCCCTGCCCGGAGGCATTACAGCGCTCGGCCCCCCGGAGTGCCGCATCGCAGTACTGCAGGGCTGGTGGGAAACCCTCCAGGCACGTGTCTGGGACCTCAGGGAACAATTTACTCCACGGAGGTGCCTCGGTACCTGGGACACGGACCAGCACAGACAAATGGCACACAACTGCATAATGTTATTTGCGCTCCTCAGATGGCAGGTAAGAGAAAGGAAGCGGCCAGAGAACAAGGTACCACAATATTTTACAAACGTTTGTGCTTCTCTGCAGCGTCTGGGAAGACAGTACGCTTCTTACCTGTAGCAGAGATGAGTAAAGTGAGCTGCAGGGAGCTTAAATGACTGGGCAAAACCCACAGAAACCACAAGCAAGTTCATTCACTGCAAACGTGACCCGAGCGTGCTGACTCCTGCCTGCCTGACCACTGCAGGCCTGCAGAGCTGCCGGCGCAGGGCGGGCGCCCGGCAGCCGCGCGGCGCGCCACGAGGCCGTCGCCAGTGACCTCCTTGCGGTCAGGAGATGCTGGATAGTCTCCTCTCTTGCTGCATGCACATAGCTGCATCAGGGGAATTTGAGCAGGATGCAAAGGGAAAAGGAAAGTGAAGGGGGGAAAATCAAGTAAATTGAACGGCAAATAGCAAAAGCAACGCAAAGCAAAGCAAATTCTGCCACAGACCTGATGGGGGATGAGTCGCTGGACGTAGAGGAGGTGGGCATAGGGCTTGATGGCGCGGAGAACATGGGCCAGGACGGTGAGAGGGGTGACGTTGGGCTTGGACTCTGAGGGCTGCAAGACATAACCAGATAACTTATCAACATGCAACCACAGCAACAAACACGGCTGAGAGACATGCAGACGACAGCCGACGATAGCGAGCGCCTTGGGAAGGCTCAGAGCATGAGACACGGCTGCAAAACCAAGTGCCAAGACCTTGGGGAACGCTGCAAGGCCGGATCTGCGTTTCTCTGGAGAACAAGAGCTGGATCATGCAATTAACCCCTGCTCCATTGCCCCCTCGCTGGCGAGCCAGATACCTCGAAAACTGTAAAAGTGTACAATACTGTGCCACATGCCAGCTTACGGGGCTGTTTCACTGTGCACAGCCGTGTTGTCTCCCCAGCAACTTACCTGCTTTGTGTCATTTCCCCCCCCTTTTTGGCAGAAAGGGCTGATCATATTTCTGGGCATCAACGATGCCTGCGAGCAGCCTTCCTGGCCCTTTTTATGTCAGCCGCCGTGGCGGCTGCATGCCCAGGCTGTTCTCCTGCCCCGGGGCCCGAGCACAATTCCCTGTTTACATTTTGGACCGAACGGGTCGGGCCGTAGCCACCAGGAGCCCTTGGCCCGCTGCCACCGCTCCGCGGCCACCTTGCAGGGCCGATCCCCGAGCAGCAGCCCTCGGGGACCTACTGCCGGGAGGGCAGGTCCTTGCCCAGGGGTGGGCGCCTGCCCTCGCATCGTCAACAGTTTAAGGGCAGCGTATTTGCTCAAAACATAACAACAGTAGTGACAGAAGCATCGACGCAGCGGCTGCCCGTGCAGCCGGGGGGCTGTTACTCCCGGTCCGCAGCCCAACCCAACTGCTCTGCGTCTGTCAAACACACCAACGGCCCCGGCATCGGGGGCTCTGCGGGGACCCCGGCGGGAGCCCGCGGGCTACACGTCCTGGAAATGGCTCACGTCGAGGTAATCGATTCCTCAGTATCCCTGCAGTGCTTATAAAATTGCAGTACTATAAAATTTTAATTGATTTTTTTTATGCTTTAAATTGAAGAACTCTTTCAAAAAAAATCCCCTCCTCCACGCTGCTCTGGACTCTATTCTTTCTTTACGTTACTGCTGCCAATTAAAGCTGACTCAAGTTACAGACCTAGTAAATGCACGCAGAAGTCGAGTGAGAAGTGCTTGCTTCCTTCAAAACCGTTATATTTAGATTATTTTCAGGTTTACTGAAAAGCAATTATTATACTAAAATACTAATCTGAGTCTCATTCATCTTCTATTGTTCCCATATTTATCAACTCATCTGTACTGCCTATCTAATTTAGACTGTAAACTCTGTCTCGGATAAAACACCAAAAAAAAACTCTCAACACTCAGCCCTCACCAATAAATACTAGAGGTTGATGGCAGCACCATGGTTTCATGCCTTCGTCCCCAGAAAGGGATGGGGCGTTTGGGTCCGCTGGCGGGTGCCGAGGCAGGGGACAAGGGCACAGCACCCCATGGTACAAGCCTGGAGCCCAAACACATGCTGGAGGGAGGGAAAGGCTAAATCGGCTATTAACAGGGTGCCAGAGAGCACCCAGGTCATCTTCTCCCTCCTCGCCGCGGGATCTGGTGAGGTTGCGGGGCTGCTCCTTGAAAGCACCAAAATAACCTCAAAAGCTGGGCCTGGTTGGGGAAAGGGTGGTCCATTTGCTAGGAGGGGCACCCTCCACCATCCTCAGCCCCAGCCTGTACATGCAATTCGCTCCAAATACCAGTCTGGGCTTATCAAGACTTTGTCTCGATGTGTCCATCTCAGGTTTCCTTACGTTATCATGGGGCAGCAGGCAGGGATGCGTTTCTTCAGCACTCAAGGAGAAGCCCTCTGAAAAGCATGGCGTTAGTGGCCAACTCAGGGGAAAAAAAAATCCAAACCCTAAACCAAAGAAGGATGAAGTCACCCCCACCCCGAAACAAGCAGCACGGGTGGGTGGTGGCCCAGTGCGCAGAGCTGGAGGACACGGCCATGGGGTGCCTTGGCCGGGTGCAGGGACCCACACAGGCCCGCCGGGGCACGGCTCGCCACCCGGAGGGCAACAGCAGCTCTCGGATGGCCCATGTTGACAAGTACCTCTTAAACCTTTAAGAGAAAGATAAAGTCTCTGTAAGAAGGGCAACGCTTTAGGCCACAATCATTCAAGGACCGTTCCAGCTCACAACAGGAGAAGCTCCTTGGTCCAGCACCCGGGTTCTGTTTCTGAAGCCCAGATTGAAATATTTTGTTAAATTAACAGAGAAGAGAATATAACAAACATTTTTTTTCCCATTTCAAGCTCCATTTAAAACCCCAACCTCCCAACCTCTATTGTTTTAAAAAAAAGAACTGATCCCCCCCGCAAAATCCAAGAGGGTCTCCACAAAATATTTACGGTCAATTTTGAATTTTGTGGTGTGATTGTAATTCTCTTTCTTTCAGTTTGAGTTATAATTTAGTAGCTTAAAACTGGAATGGCACCTTCACAGGCCAGCTTCCACCAGGGGACCAGGTTTCAGCCTGCTCAGTTCGTGTGTGTGTGTGTGTGTGTGTGTGTGTGTGTTTAATGCGCTGACGTTTTTCCATGTCCGTCTCAGCCTCGACCGAAAAAGGGGGCTTCCAACAATGACAGGACCTTGCTAACAAGGCTGTGACTCACATCAATATTTCCTGCATGCCCTTTCTGGCGCTCTCTGAACAAAGCTGAAAGCCAGCTCTATTTTGCATTCTCTGATTGTGACAATTCAATATTGAAAGAATAAAGTCTGTGGATTGCGTCCAATTTCTAGGGAGAAAGTGTCCGTGTCATAAATATCATCAGTACAACTGGCACCTAGAGGACATTAAAGAAGGTTAAATTTTTGGCCGGAACTGCTTTAAAGTCCATATCCATTTAAGGGCAAACTCCTGGCTTCTTTATTCTTTGGAGAAGTCGTGTCATCGAATTCAACAGACACTAACAACCTCCCCCTTACAAGGAAGGGCAATACCTTTATTACTTGAGAGCGTACATGCACATAGGAATGAAGTACACAGTGCAGCCGAACTTTCACAGGAGGGCTGTAAAACAGGGAATGGTCAAAGACAGACTTAACAGAAACCCTCAAAACGTTCACCTAATACGTTATCAGCATTTAGAAACAATCTGCTTGTATTTTTCTATCAAAATTGTCCGTCTTTTTAAAAATGACTAAATAAGACACATTATTTTGACTGTAACAAGTCTATTAGACATTTGTACTTACCATATCTTAAATCTATTTCCAATTTTAAACAGAGGGAGGTGCTACAAAGAGCACCCAGTTATCCCCAATCACAGAAATTAACCCTGGAAACACCAGTTCTTGCTGCTGCTTTTTCTTTCTAGCAGGTATAGTTGTCTGGCTCTCCCGTGATGATATCCTGCCTTCCCTTAACACAGCAAGCTATATAGCATATATGGCATGTAATTTTGTTTTATTTTATCTGTGTATAAGCATGCTTCTGCCCTCTAATGGAGAGAGTACGTTAGACCCATTTGAGTATTTGGAGAGTGCTCTCCTCTGGATAAAAGAACCTCCAACATTTCATTATTAGTATCGCAAGAGGCGCTGCTATTTTGGAAGCCCAAACCCTTCAGCTCCAATACCCGTATGTGACATTTCCTGATTCTGCACAGCTAAACAGCTCTGGAACACGACAGCAAGCTCCGGGAGGGCTACACGCTTGCACGGCAAGTGAAGGGGGAAGGTGTACAGCAGCAGAGCTGCTGCGTGTGCCCATAGTCTTACCACGGCCACTCGGCACTCGTGTGGACTCCTCCATCCGACCACCTCCATCAGCTCTTCACGAAGGTGCCCATTACCTGCTGCAGCCTCTGTGCCCACCTGGATTGCCTACAGCCAAGGACAGCCACATCCAGAAACAGCCCTCTCAGCCTCCAGCTCCCTGCTTGAACTAAGTGCCTTCTACTGAACAGCCTGCAGGGCAGAACGAGCCCTACGACAGCCAAGATACCTTGGCCATCAGTTCATCTTCTGGCTAGCCACAAACCCTGAGCGGCTGTGGCTAAGGGACTGTGAAGGCCCTGAGCTGGGGCAGGACAAAGCGCTCATCGCTCTTCCAAAGAGGAGCGTTGCCCAGAGTCAGAAGGTGCCAGGGAGCAGGGTGGTGAGCTGGCGACTGAAATAACTCTGGGCTTGTTCCCTGCAAGTGGCCACCAATGCCTCTGGCCCCTCCTTTGGCCTTGCAGCTCGGGCACTCGGTGCCCCACTGGGGACACCCCAGAGGTGAACCCACAGGGCAAGAGTGTCCATGCAGCAATGCCAACGCCTCCTGCGCGGACTCCCAGCACGCCTAACTTCAAAATTTAAAAAATCATCCAACTGTACAATGCACTGGGATTAGAAATCCCCAATGCACTTTTTGAGATGAAATCATTTTAAAAGAACGCAACTCTCGCTAATCATAAAGTCAGTTCTGTCATCACTACATTAACTGCTTCGTTTGCTGCGCTAATTACAGTGTATAATACAATCAATATGATTCGCAGATAATTATTCTGCGATGTTGCCTAGTAAAAAAGCCTTAAGAGCAAGAAGTCAGTACTCGGATTAGCCTTTATCTAAGAAGCTATAAACAATTTGGAGGAGGATTCCGGTGTCTTTGGATCCTGAATGGCACAGAAGACACTCTCAGTGCCTACCAAAAAAGCTGACAGAAATATTAATTAATGACAGCATGCAATTTTTCAGCAGTAAGATCATCCTTTTTCAATCAAGTTACTCACAGAAGAGATGAATTTGGTCCTATGATGACCGAGCTACTTTTGCTCCCTGTTGCAGTGCTTCTGCAAGTCTCTCCAGCAAATTTCCTCAAGAAGAACAAAGGGACTTTCCAGGATCCTGCCTGAGCTGGCCCTCCCCAGCACCTACAAACAGCGCGGCTACGAGGCATGCTAAGGGTTTATCGCTCTTCAGGGTAATACATGCACTTATTTTCAAAGATATTACTTGAATATCATCCTACTGAGTTACGCAATTGCAAGGCCTAAGCCTTCCCTTGTCTCATTAGAGAAGAAAATGCACTTGAGTATATTGACTATTCTGAGATCTCATTGCATTTGGAAAACAGTTGTCTTCTAGGATCCAATTTCCTTTCTCTTTCCCAAGGAAATAGCAGAGGTGGTGGCGGGCTTTTTGGAAATAGTGGCTGCTGCCTGCCTTCAGTTCTGTCTGCAGAAAGCAAATGTCATCTGGACCTTTATTTTTCTTCTTCTTATTCTTGAGGACTTTGCGAGGGGCTCTTCCTGTTGGGTGCATAGTGGGAAACAAAACAGAAAAAAAATAAAAATGCTAAGAACCAAAAATATCAAAAGCAGGAAACAAAGAAGTGGCTAAAATTAGAGTCTTCACACGAGGATATTAACTTTTCACGACTAGAAGCAGGGGAGGGAACGCCGTGAGTCAGTAGCCCAGAACATCCCGGTGCTTTAGCCTTTCCTTCTCGTTCACTCTGCGCCCCTTTTACTTGAACCAACTTCCAAAAACGCCAACAGCGGCAGGGACCTGCAACCCAGGAAGTCAAAGACGAGGCAAAAAAGGGCGCTGGAAATGGCACTGGAATGGAGGATGTGGCATCTTAGCACTCAGCTCGCATTGGCTTCAGCACTCCTAGGTGCCCCTTTGAAAATCGAACTGTACAAGCAAACACATATATTTAGAGATGAGTGAAACTAAATCCTCCTCCTTGCTTCTCGTGACTACTGTACATCTTATCTTTCCCACCTGATGCTCAGTTTGCAGCCTGAATATGTCAAAGAAACAATTCCTATTTCCAGACTCTGATCCCTTCTCCAGTTGCAGTATCTAAAACTCACTTTCCTAACCCCTTCTCATAACCTGTCTCTTTCTTTTCTTCCTCTTTCTCTGCTGTCTGTCCATCCAGACTTGTGTCTGGCATTTTCTTTACACAGCTCAAGTCCTCAAGCCATTTACTGGTCTAAAAAAATTATTCTCGGCAGGATTTCTAGACAATTTTTGCTGCTTTGCTCTTTTGGCTTAGAGGACACAAGTTCCACTAAAAAAAGCTTTTCAACTCATTATTTATTTTCGCCTAACTCGGGACTTACACCATTACTTCCAGCACACAACATCTAACATCGATGAATGGGCAGAGTCTACCAATGAGTTGAAGCCCTTTAATGAAATCACCTCGAGAATAAGTACAATATTCCCATCCTGACATTATCAATACCTGACTGAATCAAAATAAATTAACAACAACCCCTCCTCCCCCGGTTTTACTTCTATTCTCTTCCTATAAAACAAAGCTCCCAAATGTAAGGTTTCTCTCAAAACTAACCAGAAAAAACATCACAATATCATTTAATGCCGGGACACTAAACCTATGCTAACCCAGGACCAAGACTGCAGGTCACCAACGGCCATAGCGATGTTGCCTAAATGAAATGGGACTCAGCCTTGAGCAGAGACGCTCGGGAAGCCTGTTCATGCAATGCCGCATCCTAGCAAAGCACAGACTGCATTTTGGATGGGCTCTAGCAAGCACTTTTCCAGACTCTGGCTGCATTCCAGGTTAGCGATGGCACCACACACGATCCCTATACGTTACCGTTAGCTCACAGGGCTTCGGGCTGGCAGCATTTCTCCTCTCTTTGATACTTTAAATGGAAGCAAAACAATGCTAAAGGTCTCTCCAGTGTTATTCTCCCAGGGGTTATCTTGCTGTATCATCATTCAGGTGGAAAATAATGCCACATTTAGGGAGATTAGCAGCCGAAATACACTGTGGTCAACATCACTTGACCAAACAGGTCCATAAAAGTTCAATTTCTTCAGCGTGGACTTTCCCACGTCTCCATTTATTAGTTCCTATGTCTCCAGAAGCACAGCTTATATGATCTTCTTTTCAATAATATGGACACGTCCCTCTTCATAATCTTCAAGATACCCAGCACATCTTTGATTTCTCCTCTTATTTTTCTGCTTGGCTTATTTGCCATTATATAGAAATATTTCTCTGCTTTGGCAATTTCATAAACCCTCTAAAAGTTTTTCCATGTGAAAAAGAGGGAGACTGGGAAGAGTTCTGACTTCAGGAAGGAAAGCTGGAGTTTTGTTGTCCCACTTAACAGATACTTCCATTTCCAAATATAGAGTGATTACGTTCAGCGTTTCAAATGGATGCAATCGTGCTGTTGGTTTGGTATAGCCTTCTGGCAGGAAGCTTAGAGAATGGTGTTAATGCTGGAGAAAGGTTGAGTGAATAAGCAAAGGATGAGAAATGGCTGCGTTTTCAGCATGGCTAAGCACTAGGAGGCACTGAGGAAAGAAAGCTGGCTGCAATGGGATGTATTTCAGTGTGACTTGCAGACAGAGGTCTTCCACAGTGGGTGGGATCCAGGCGATGGAAGCATCATGCCATCTTAACATGGAATAGCATTTCATTAGTGGTTGCACAATTCATTTACAACAACGAACTCTGTAGCATTCCTAGCAAGTTACCAACCCATCAGTCACTACTCTTACAAACAGATCCTTAGCCAACAGATGACCCCACACATGGAAGCTCCCAGTGAATAAAAACAGGAGGAGTGTGGCAGGAGACTTTCATCTCCGCTAGAGCAGCATAGGGACATCGGCATGGTACTCTGGAGACAGCACCTGAGATGGAAACGGGAGGAAGAGCATGGGGCAAGGAAGACAGAAAACAGAGGAAATCACAGATCTGTGGCTAGCTCGCCCCTGGTCCTTCGTGGCACCTAGCCCTGGTCTGCTTTGCTCCACTGTTTGCTCTGAGGTTGTATTTTCTGCTCCATAAATAACTGCCTTCACTGCTTTCTCTCTGCCCAAAACACTCTCAGCAAACTAAAAATCAAGCTGGTAGATTTTATGTTGAACCAAGTGCTTTCAAAACATATTAAAGTTCTTAATTATTAATAGAAAAGTTGTAATATGCCAGTAGGAAGCCAAACTGCAGTTTAAGAGGGAAGTGTTGGTAAATCAGGAGCCAGCAGCTTAGTCACATCTTTTTGACCAAGCTGCTTTCTCCAATACATGAGGTAATTCTGCAAGTCTAGATGCATTAGTCACCAACAAATTGTATTCACTATTAAAGAAAACGCTGCAGTCCTCCAGAAATCTCCTGTTCTTCTTGCGGCATTCAATCCACCACCATCATATTTCCCCCAGAAAAGAAAGCTCTCCCACCTGCCATCCCAGCAACCATAAGGGATTCCTGCAGAGTGAAGGGAATTAAAGTCCCGTGGGATCCACACCCCCGGCTCAGCATGGGGGGAGTTTTCATAGGATCAAACGTGCCAGCTAAAGACACCCTCTGCCTGGAGCGCCTTGCTTCGCTGCCTGCTGAGGACGGTTTGCAAAACCCACGTGGTTCGCACGTGTCTGCAGCAGTCGAAGGTGGCCTCGTTTACGGGACTAGGGGGCTGCAGGAAGGGTAAGGCTGTCTTTGCTGCTAGCCACCACCACCCAACCAAGGGAGAGGAGACCCCGGCAGCCCCCAGCGGAGGAGCTCTTCCGGACACTGCGGCACGGCATCGGCTGCGGCCCCGCACGCCGGAGACAGTCGCAGAGCGCAGAGCCCGGAGCCGGCTGCTTCGCCCCGCGTGGTCTCAGATGCTAACCGGCACCTCAAAGAAAACGCAGCGTTTTGCAAGCAGCCAAGGAGGGCAGTCCTTACGGGACGAGCAGCCACCAAATCCCACAAGCTTTTACTGTCAGCTCCCAGAAGGAAGAAAAGTTTCTTTTATTTTTTAAGTAATTTCGGGAAATGGCCAGAAAAGCTGCTCCACACGTAAAAGATTCATTGCTTGCTAAGTAATTTTCCTTGCATAATCCGATAAAAGGCCATTTTCAGACTCAAATCCTTACATAAAACAAATACTATCTATTTAAGCCTCCACAAGCTACAAATCTTATTCTTGTATCATGTGCAAAAACTCTTCATGCAGTATAAGGAACTAACAGCTGCCCCCGTAAGTCATACAGGTTGGGAAAAATAATGGGGATTATTTTGGCCTGTAAAAGCGATTTGAGAGTAATGGATGAGTAAAGCCACTGCACAATAATTTTCTGAATTTACTCATATGCCTGATTTCCCCTTGTACGTTTGCTCTTGTTCTGCTTCATGTTGTGCAATTGTTCTGCAAACAGCAGTTATATAGAGCTGATGAGAACATTTCACTCAAGACTGTTCTTTGACAGACTTTTTTGCCCTTCCATTTCCCAACAAAATACCTGTTTCCCAAAGCAAATTCTGATTTCAGGGAGGAAAGTGTGAAAATGCAAGGACTCAAACCCTGAAATGATCCGATTTCATCATACTTATCAAAAGAAGTTCAGTTTGCATTTTGTTCTAGGTTTTTTTTTTTTCCTTTCTTGGTTAAAACCCCCAAACTTTGTCATAATAGTTTTGCTCAACAGCTCTACTCAGCAGCGGCCTCCCCTCTCGCAGCAGGGCGGCACGGGCACCGCGACCCTTCCCCTTTACTGAGCCCGACCTCCAGCCTCCTGCCTGCAGCCCACCTAAAGACGAAGCCCCTTCTCCTTTCCCACTCATCAACTCTAAGCGAGACTCACGTGTGCAATTCACTTTTGGGGGGCCAAGTGGC